ATACATATTTTTAAATGTGATGTGTGTGTTTGTGTGTGTGTGTGTGTGTGTGTGTGTGTGTGAGTGTGTGTTTCACAATAAGGAAGAGAGAGACTACAGTGTATCTTTAAAATGACTGTTTTCAGCTTTGGTAGTTGGTTTGGTCACAGCTCTGTAGGACTGTAAGGGACACAGTCTTAGGTGCCAGGATTTATCTTTACTTTCCATTCAGACATGAAACTCATTTTGATGACTTCTCTGGGTGCCATACTCACACAGTCTGGCTTTTTGGCAGCCAACCCTTCTTCAGCACTAATCTAGGCAGAATGTGGGTAGATAAGTAATAGAATTTCACAAATGTCCTCAGATTTCTCACCTTTCCCACAAGAAATGGAGCACAGCCCCACCAGAGGAGTCCACACATGTTCAGCCTGAAAGCCTGGCTTGTCACTGCCCACTGGGGATGGAGCCTCCTCTCCCAGAGACATGGTGCCCACCTAAAGAGAGCATCGAGCAGGTGAGTCCGACATTCTGGCTTCTGCCTTGGAGCAGCCAGCCTCCTTCCTCTCTTTGTCATGAGGAAAGAGGGACTATTCCAAACACACTGGGTTCCCTCCCTGCTGCTCTCTAGGAAGGCCAACTCCCTGCCCCTTGGTGAAGCCCTCACTATGCACCTCACTTTGGCCTGTGAAGGCTCCTTATCATTCCAAGTGGTGTCTGTGGGATGTTTCTGGGGGCTAAGGAGCAGGAGTGGATTTGCAAGCATACGTGGCCCTATAGTCCCTAGCCCAGAAGAATCCAGGGCCCTCCGCCAGACAGCCTGAAGCCCCTGGATGCCAGGCAAAAGTTGAAAGAATCACTTTCATAGCAGCTGGAGAATTCTTTCCTTGCTGTGCCTGGTGGCACAGGAATGTGGTCCCTACAACTTGGGAGGCCTAGGTAGAAGCATTGAAAGTTCAAGACATTCTTGAGCTATAGTCAGGTTGCAAGCAATTTAGTGAGATACTGTCTCAAAATTTAAAATATATGAAGGAAAAGACCAGGGTTATAGCTCAATGGGCTAGTGCTTGCCTAGCATACTGAAGGCCCTGGATCTGGTTCTCAGCACCTCAAACACAGCAATAAGCAGATCCCCACTCAGTTGCTTGTGACAGGCTCCATTTTCTCTCAGCCTGGCTCACCCCTTTCAGAAACACTTTAAGTGTGTTCTCTGACAGGGTGTTCCTCAGACAGCATCCTGAGAAGAATGGAGTCCTCACTCTGGCCTGCAGGAAGATGGCAACCTTGTATTTTTCATTCTCGTGGCTAATAAATTACCCAGGACTCCTGGCTACCTTCCTACCCTATCCACACACCTGACCCGAGTCTGGAGAACATGTAGTCCTGAAACAGGGCTCCAGCATAGGTGATATCTCATCTGTGCAGCAGGGGCCTGCAGTTGCTGGCTTCTCCGGGTCACCCACCCTGGGCACACATGTCACATTCCTTGAGTCCAGACCTGTTTCACAGGCAGATGACTTGCAAGGACCAGGGTCTGACACCTCCCATCTGAAGAAAACACAGGGCTGTCATGAGGCCCTGCCTCTGCTGCCTCATGGGAGGTACAGCCCAGCTCCTTAGGGTGGACAGGGGGAGTTGATATTTAGGATTCCAATATACAGATCCCATTAAGAAATAAAACTCAGGAGCTTTCTCTGAAACATTGGTCTATCACAACTCAGTTCTCAACAAGAACTGTGTGTTGGGACAGTGAGTAAAGGATTCTGCCTCCAACTCTGACAGTCTGATCCCAGGGTATTCCAGAGATTGGAAGGAGAAAATTGACTGTGGTAAGTTGTTTTCTGACCTCCACTCTTGCACCATGACTTGCTCATGTGCGTATGCATGCACACATACACACACTAAATGAATGAAGAACTGTAATTTTCATGTTAAAAAAAAAAGATTAAGGGCTGGAGAGACGGCTCAGTGGCTAACAGCACTGACTGCTCTTCCAGAGGTCCTGAGTTCAATTCACAAGGTGGCTCACAACCATCTGTAACAGGATCTGATGCCCTCTTCTGGTGTGTCTGAAGACAGTGACAGTGTACTCATATAAATAATAAAATAAAAAAAGATTAAAAAATAACTTTGTGCATACCAACCACATACTTCTCCTGTGGCTAGGGTTTGGGGAGGCAGAGTCCTACTCAACTGCTTTGTAAAAGCAAAGGTAGAAGACCTCCTCCCCAAACCTACCAACAACACACTTCATGCCCTGATGCAGGACAACAGGTGCCATGTGCATTCACAGTACCAGCTGAAGGCTGGCACATGGTTCACTGTATGACATCAATGCATGATGTCTGCCTAAAGCATCGTGCTGTCAAGGGTGCTGAGACTGGATCATATCTCTGCGCTTAACAATAGGATTGCAATGTCGGCCATGCACGAGAGAAGAGGAAGGAGCCAGAGCCATTGGTGGGCCACCAATAATCTAAGGCTCTCTCACTGGACAGAAAACAAACCTGAAGCCATGCTGATCGTCCAGCCCATTGGTAACAGGCCAATAAGTGAAGACCAGTTTGGACATGGAGGATATTTCAGTCACAGCCGTGTGGTCACTGCAGGAGAGGTGCCAGTGATGACTAATGCTATGAGCTTTTACATTCACAGTGTCACACCACCATCCTCACAGGTCTCATCCCCACATCACCCAGGTATTAGAGATTCAGTGATGGAGACAAGTAGCCCAGCACCTCTTGAATAGTGAGAAGGTTGATGTTCAGGCACCACCATCTGTCATCAGGATGGAGCTGATGAGAGCCTTCAGCAAAAGAGGGCCCTCTACAAGGGTGGATGCCAAGGAGCCCTGCTGCACCACACCTTCATATACATACCTGGTGGGACAGGGCTGGGAGTTGCAGTTTTCCACCTCTGTTGCTGGCTGCTGGGCTACCGCTCTGCACCGGGCTGGTGGCAGCATCTTTAAGAAGCCGTCTTGGGCTTCCACACAGTGCAGTGACCGCTCCCGAAGACCCCCACCACAAGACACACTACATGGACTGAAGTCTCCGGATACCCAACTAAGGAAGAAGGGGACAGAACATCAGTCCTGGGGCCAGGTCCCTCAGTTGGCTCATGGGGTTGTGGTATAAGGCAAGCAAGTCTGTCTCACTGATCCCAAAGACACACTTCCTCTGGTCTGGTCCAGGTCCTGTGTTCCCAAGCTGCTGTTCCGAGATCAGCCTCAGTCTAGAACTTCCCTTGACATACTTCTAAATCTGAGGCCAGATATTTTATAGTGCTAGCTGGAGCCTCCCTAGTCCTACACCCAACAAGACAACCTTGTCCTAAAAGTATTCTGTTACCAGTTGGCAGAAGCCAGTGAACGCCTGGTGCTGGCCCTCCCATCATTCTCAATGGTAGGGTGGTCACCATCATCTTGCAATGAGAACGTGAGCTCAGAGAGGCCTCAGGACACCCAGACAAGGTGGTAGAAGATGTGACCACACCCCAGACTGTCTCTCTGACTGTGTCTCAAGTCCTGATGTCCTCACTCACAGAATGAGGACACTGACAGAGCCCAGGCCACAGAGTTGCAGCTAATACTGAAAAAACAACACACAAAGATTCTTTTCAGCCTTCCCAGGCCACAAGTGTCACCACAGACCAGTTGACTACCCAGTTTAGTACTTACTATGGGGAGCAGGGGGCAGAAACACAAGGCTCTTGCCATGCAGGTGGCTGTGGGCTCCCTTGGCACTGGGTGTTCTCCACCCACTTGTTTTGAGCTTGATCCTGGCAGCTGTAGGTTACCCAGCGCATCCCTGGAAGGGCAGAGCAAAGACTCAGCCACCTCCACATGGAGTCCAGCAGAGCTATGGGCGAGCTTCACCCTGGGCCTTACCTGCTCCACAGCTCACTGAGCAGGGTCCATGCTTAGAGGTCCATACCCAGGCTGCCTCTTGCTTCAGTTGAAAGTAGGTAAAGGTGATGTCTGGGTGTGTAAGATCCCCATATTCACCTCCATATCGTCTGTACACCTATATCCGGACAGATGAGATCTCAGGTCCTGAACAGGGCACACCCTGGGGTCTCTTTTGTAAGCATTTGTCCTGAAAGCATTCATGTTCCCAGACTCCAGGAGACAGACTTGAGTGTCAAGGAGTTCTGGGAAATGTGTGTGTGTGTGTGGCGGGAGGGACAGGTATATACCAAGGGGATGGTAGTTTTGGAGTGGGGTATTATGGGAGTGTTGTTTAGGTTGGGGACAGACTACAGCCAAGGAAATCAGGTGTAGCGTCAAGGCAGGGAATGGTCCAGCAGATTGGCTCCGGGCCAGGATATAAGGTGAAGGCTCAGGCCATTTCAGGTTTGGTCATCTGCACTCGCCTTCTTTAGCAGAGCACAAAGAAGGACACACACAGATGAGCCACATCTTTGAGGATATCCCTACCAGAAATCTTTCAGGGCCTCATGTGCCTCTGCTCTCAAAGAAGCAAGAGCTGCCCTCCATCTCCAGAAGGGCCCTCACATGCCAGCTGGTACAGGGACTCCTTGCTTGACCTATTCCCTATTTCAGAGGACTGCCCATGGCCAGTCCTTGAGCTCCCCTGTGATTTTCTGGTTGGGGGTGGTCCCTGATTCCAGCATTAATTCTATTCTCAGATCTCCGAGGCCTTCTGCATGCCCTGGACACAGGCATATATTTATACTGACTTGCAATACACTAATCCCATGAGTGGCCCTTATCTTATACAGTGCATTTTATCTTATGCAGAGCTCCACTTGTAGTCGGTCCCCGCATGACTGCTGCAAGGATTAATAACTGAGTAAATGAGTTACAGACACATAGGCAGATGTCCAGAGTCACCAGGAGAGGCCTGCTGACTCCCCCCCACCCCCAGCCTAGCTGATTGATGACCTGGATCTCAGTGTCCTCCCGGACAGGTCCCCGGATGTGAATCTCCTCTAAGTGGGGCAGCTGGTCCTCAGTGAGAGTCACTCTGTACTCCATGCGGTAGTCCTCCAGAAGGGAAGGGTACGTGATGTTAGACGAGATGCTAGTCTTCCCTGCCACAATGTAGTGGCCCTGGATCCTCACAGCTTTGAGAATAGGGCCATCAGCACTATGGAGTAGTCACCATCCCTCTTCACAGGCCAGCAGTCTATTTAGTAGGATAGGAGCACTCTTCACAGGCTAGACTTAAGGATGACAGCAAGGCAAGGGGCAGGAGGCTCTCTGCCAACAGGGTCTAATGTGGTTAGCTCCTTCCAAGGCTCCAAACCTGCCCCTAAAGAACCCTAAGACCTTCTGGTGTCTCAGTTAGACAGCATCTTCATTAATCAAATCCCTCTTTCTGTATGCACAGTTCTGCCACACACAACACACCCAGGAGACTTAACCATAGTGGTGGCTCCATGCCTCTTTCTGGAACCTGGTGAGGGTTGTGACTTATGCCTTCCCCTGAGTGTGCTCATACAGGGCTCCAGGGCCGAAATCCCTTCCACGTGGTTTAAGGTCAGAGGCTAGCCTCTGAGACAAAGGAAAAGTCTAATGGGACGGGATCTTCAAAAGGAGTCCAGTGAAAACTCTTAAAGGGCCAGATTCCCGAGATGGTCGTCCTCTGGGATTGTCACGCCCTGGTGCTGGAAAGCACCAGTTCCTGGGGCCTGGGGCTTTCAAGCTGCCACCCCCCATGCTCAGCCACCATATTCCTTTTCAGGCAATTTTAACCTTTATCCTTCCCTCCCCCTAGGATAAGCTTAGCTGTGAGTGCAGCAGCTCTCAGTGGGGTCTGGGGAGTTGAAGTTCCTCCCACCTTGCAGTGGGTATCAGGAGTAAAGGTATCTCAAAGACTAAGACATAGGTAACAAAGTGCAGGGAAGGATCCTCTGTCATCTCACCCAAGTGTGTGAAGAGAGGCCTGCGGTTGACAATGTTCACGCTGGTCATATTGGGTGTAACTGTCAGGAACGTGACATATTCTAGGGACAAGTAGAGCAAGAGGGTTGCTTGAGTTTTGTAGTCACCTATACCACTACCAAAGAAGAGAAGCCCAGCTGGAAAGACGTGACAGTGTCATTGGGCTGGTTTTGGTGGTAATGAATCTCCATCATAGGAAGAGGTCAAGACCAGACTAGGGGGTCACCTGCAAGGACACTGCCCAGGCCAGGAGCATAGACCAGACTCAAGGTTCTCAGCTGAAGGCACAGCCAGAGAGGCAGGGCCCAAGTTCTTTGCTGATCTTGCAATTCAGTACTGTCAAATGATTTTTTTACTTTATATATATACAGCAAAGCCAAGGTTGCATCCCACTTGTCCTCTGAATCCTCCTGCTGGGACTCCTGAGTGGGAAGGAAGAGGTGACCTGACAATTATTCAGAGTCTGCTACTTCTCCCCCCACCCCCATCACAGCTACAGTGAAGAATTTAGTGGGGTGCTACAAGCCTGGTTGCAGAGGCAATGTTGCTGGAGTTTGAAACGTCAGAGAAGAATGAACTGAAATATACAGGGAGGTACCCAGGACTGGGGTAGCACATAGGTGTTGTGCCCTGAGCAGCCCAAGCTAATGCTTTGGGTGCTGGATCCCTGCAGAGTGATAGGAAACCCACCCTCCATGTAAGAGCAGCCCTACCTCTGGCTCTCCCAGCTGTGAAAGAGCCATTCTGTGAACTGCAGGTGCTATTGTCTCCTCCACACACCTGGCACACATCCCAAACCTGCTGGGAGTCCATCCTGCCATCACAGCCAAAGGTCTGTGAAAAGAGGGATATTGGAAAGCCCGTGTTATTGGGGTGCTGGTTTCCCTGGTACCACAGCTGTGAGACTCTAGTATTCACAAAACTCTCTGTAGCTTCATGGAAGCTCCTGATATCTGCAAAACCTCTAAGGAGCTCCCGTGATGACTTTCCTATTTTGGGCTGTAGTATAGGCTGACTCCAAGTTCCATCCTGTTCCCAACAAACATTCCCTAGCAAACTCAGGGCAGCTCTACTGAGCTAGCCCCATAGATCATTTCCTCTTTCCTCTTACCTAGAAGCCTTCTAACTAGGATAGGAAAACTTTGAGTCCACAAAGACAGGGGTTGTCCACACACCTACCCTGCAGCTGCCCAATAAACAGAGGCTTAGGGTCCCATCGTCCCGAGGACCACTTGGCACACAACGGGTCCCATCTAGGAAACTGTCTCCACGGCTGACAATGAAGCTTTCTCCAACAGCCCAGCACATGTGTCTGCACAGAGTATCTCCTAGAAGAACAGAATGGCAAGGAAACCTGCTGTTCAAAGATGAATAAGGAGGTCAGTGAGCTAAGTATGAAGGTCCCTTGGGATCTGCTATAGTATAGTGCTATCTGCTTACCTGCCAGATAAGGTCTAAGAAGGCTGTCCTGCTAGCCTCAGCTAACTACATGCTTTGCATATGTAGCTAGGGCCACTGTTTTCCCTCCAAGGCCATATTATATTCTGGTCTCATAATCATGGCTATCAGGTTATTATCCAAGAATTACAGGTGCATTTCCCCTGAAGTATCTCCCTAAATCCTAGCAAGCCCAGAAGAAGATGCTTCTAAAATAGAACCTCACTGTTTATTATCTAGGGAGTTCAGACCAAATCAGAGGGCAATCCATGGTCTGTGGGTTGCCAGAGCGTGAGTCAAGCCTGCCAACCAGCATTGGAGTGACGTTGGTTAATGACCAGCATTGGAGTGACGCTGATTAATGCTAATTTTTGACTTGACAGGATCTATAGTCGCCACCTAGAAGACAAGCTTCTAAATATGCTGTAAGAAATGATCTAGACTGGGGGCTGGAGAGATGGCTCAGTGGTTAAGAGCACTGACTGCCCTTCCAGAGGTCCTGAGTTCAATTCCCAGCAACCACATGGTGGGTCACAACCATCTGTAATGGGATCCAATGCCCTCTTTTAGTTTCTGGTCCTACCTTCAAGAGACTATCTTGATTAGATTAATTGAGGAAAGACCCCTTCCCTCTTCTCTCTCTCTCTCTCTTTCTCTCTCTCTCTGTCTTTCTGTCTCTGTTTCCAGGTGCAATATAACTAGCTTCCTCCATCTTCTGCTACAACTTCCCTGCCACAGTGGACTATACCCTGGAACCCTGAATCAGACTAAATCCTTCCTTCTTGAAGTTGATTTTGCTGGGGTATTTTATTTTTTATCTCAGCAGCAAGACAATGGCTAAGGCATTGACTAAGCTGACGAGCTCTGCCTGGCAGAAGTCTCCAGGTCTTGCTCTCCCAGGCCCACAGCCCACCTTGACTGTGCTGCACAGCAGCGTCCCAGTGGTAGAAGGAGGCAGTGCCTTGGGAAAGTTGTAGTGGCTGTCTGTCTGTCTTGGCACACTGCTCGGACATGAACTCCAGCTGAGTCTTCTCACAAGCCTGGCCAGAAGAGGCAGAAGACAGGTACAGGCGGGTTCCTTGCCAATGAGAGACAGCATGCATCCTGCATGCAGGGTCAAGAGACGAGTAACTCAGCCCCAGACTGTGGCTTATCGCTGCTCAGTGGCGATAAGGGGAACTTCCAGATAATCTGTTAAGGACTCAGAAGCAGCAGGAAGAGGAAAACAGGACACAGTGTGGCACATGGGGTCTCTGGTTCCAAGTCCTAAACCTGAGGAAATGTGGTTGAGCTGTCTATTTGCTTCCTAGGTACATCCAGGGCAGGAAATGAGGAACTGCAGAGACACTGTATTGCCTCACTGCACCGGGAAGGAAAGGCTTGGAGTTGACCACATGGGGAGACACGACAACCACAGCTCCCTTCTCTCAAGGTCTGAGAGACCTTGGGCACTTAGCAGAAAAGGGCAAAGGGTAAGACAGGGGCATATCACCTCATGTTGGATGCTCTGGTGGCCAGCAGTCATCTGAAGCAGACAGTAGATTGGAATAGGATGGAAAAAAATCATTCTACCACCTTGTGCCAATTAGGACAAACACATATATAGGAGAGAACATGGAGACACTGGAATCCTTCTGCACTGATAGTAAGAATACAAAATGGTAGAATGGTTCCCATGTAAAGAGAAACAGATTGTTTAAAGCTAGGTATGGTGGTGCAGGGCTTTAATACCAAAACTTGGGATGCAGAGGCAGGTGGGTTTCTGTGAGTTCAAGGTCAGCCTGATCGATAGTGAGTCCCAGCTATATAGTGAGACCCCATCTCAGAAAAGCAGGGAGGGCCTGGAGATGATGGCTCAGCAGCTAGAAGCCTGTCATGCTCTGTGGAGGACTCTGGTTCAGTTGCCATCCAGCACCATGTCAAGTGACTTACCTGTAACTCCAGGTGATCCCACTCCCTTTTATGGCCTTTCAAGGTACGTGTTCTCTCTCTCTCTCTCTCTCTCTCTCTCTCTCTCTCTCTCTCTCTCT